GTGTGTGTGTGTGTGTGTGTGTGTGTGTGTGTGTGTGTGTGTGTGTGTGTCTCCTTTTCCCCCTTTCTGCCTTGCTCCAATATTAGGTCAAAGTGGAAAACCACTACGACTTCCAGGACATTGCCAGTGTGGTGGCTCTCACCCAGACCTACGCCACTGCAGAGCCTTTCATTGACTCCAAATATGACATCCGGGTCCAGAAGATTGGCAACAACTACAAGGCTTACATGTGAGTAGAGTGGGGTATGCTTTCTCCACAGTGGAAAATTTGAGCCTCCACGTAGCAACCAAGTCTCAGTTTAACCTCCTCTGGCCCACAGGCAGATAACAGAGAGATTATCTTACACAGGGATTCTTAACGAGGGTTCCTTTTAAGCCAGAGAAGGGGTCTGTGAACTAAGATGAGAAAATATATTAATATTCATTTTCACTTGCCTCTAAGGGAAATTTAGCTTTCTCTTCATTTTGAACAGAGACAACAGACTACAGTAGTTGTCTGTACATAGGACTTTATCACTAAAGGTCATTACTGATATTCCTATATCTTACTATAGTTGAGACAGATATATCTAAATATGAATTATTCTCATTCCTACTTTAAAATCATGGTAGTTGTTAGGACTTGCCACTACCTCCTGTTATTTAGAAAGAAACACATATTGGCTGGCTGCGGTAGCTCACACCTGTAATCACAGCACTATGGGAGGCTGAGCTGGGGGGATTAAGAGGTCAGGAGATCAAGATCATCCTGGCCAACATGGTGAAACCCCATCTCTACTAAAAATACAAAAAATTAGCCAGGCATGATGGCGTGTGCCTGTAGTCCCAGCTACTTGGGAGGTTGAGGCAGGAAAATTGCTTGAACCCAGGAGGCAGAGGCTGCAGTGAGCCGAGATTGCGCCATTGCACTCCAGCCTGGGCGACAAGAGCGAAACTCTGTCTCAAAAAAAAAAAAAGAAAGAAAAGAAACATATATTTTCCTAATCACAGATATTTTTGATAACTCTAATTGGGTACCCGGGGATCTCATGTACTCTGTCTTACACAGTTACACATCTTATATATTGTATACATTGGAAGGAATCCATAGGCTTCCCCAGACTGCCACAGCACAAAGTTAAAAAGTTCCTGATGTAAATATCCAGCCCTGAAAATGCTACAGAGCGTTAAAAGCCCAGTGCATGACTTCTCTACATAACTGTGTCCCTTTGCCAGATGGAAGGTTAAAGATTTCCTCCATTAGAATTTAGTAAAAGAAAAATATTTCAAAACTACCTGACTTTCCATAATATGCATAAAATGCAAGTGGCTTATAATTCCAATTTGGGAAATAGTAATCCCCCACTTTAAAAAGTTTACAGCAGTGTTTTCTTTACAAAGAAAGAACATTATTAATATGCAGATTTGATCTTGGTCACTCAGGACTTTTGCAGACTTCAAGATTGAGCAGCCTTCCCTTTCCGTTCCCCACCTGTGTCTGTTTTTCTTCTCTTACCCCTCTTTTCACTACTTATACTCTCCACCCCTGGAGTGAGTTTGGCCCCCTCCCTGCACTCCTGTCCCATACTACCCTTCACACACCTCTTGTTTAGCCCTTGCCACACGTGTTCTGTGTCACCCTCCTCCTCCAGACTCTGAGCTCCTTGTGGACAAGAATGATGGAATCATTTCTGCATCTCCACTGCCTTGTATAGTAGCAGGAACATTAATAGGCACCCAATAGGTATTCAGGGAAGAAGAACCCTTATGGAAAACTGAGGCATAGAATTTTTTTTACCTTTATTGTCTAGATTTGTATTTTTTTAGTTTTCAATTTTATATTTATAGTATTCCTGCTTCCAGAAAAGAATTTAGGATTTCTTTAGAAATATGCACAATGTAGCCAGGTGTGGTGGCTCACATGTGTAATCCCAGCACTGTAGGAGGCTGAGGCAGGCAGATCACTTGAGCCCAGGAGTTCAAGACCAACCTGGGCAACATGGTGAGACCCCTTCTTTACAAAAAAAATACAAAACTTAGCTGCTTGTAGTGGGGCTTGCCTGTAGTCAGCTACTCAGGAATCTGAGGTGGGAGGATCACTTGAGCCTGGGAGGTCAAGGCTGCAGTGAGCTGTGATCGCACCACTCCAGCCTGAGTGACAGAGCGGGACCCTGTCTCAAAAAAAAGAAAAGAAATATGCACAATGTAAGACAGAATAATTTAAAAACCATTGTAAAAACTTGCCAAAAGAAGCAAAGAAAATACATGTTCAGGCACCTAGGAAAACAGATTACCTATCTTTTGATTTTAAAATCCCCTAAATAAACACAAAACATTAATGACAACAGTGGAGTAAAAGTGTCTTGATCCTTAAAAGAAGACACCTAATCTTTGAGGGTTAGAGTTTCAAAAAACAGTTTAAAATGAAGCAAAAAAAAAAAAAAAAAGAGAGAGAATTGCAAAACCTTGATGAAGGGTGGGTGACCAGAGAAGCTTTAAACAAGATTTACTTATTTTTTGTGTGCAAGGGACCAAGTTATTTGGAGAAATGTTTAGGCCCTCTTAGCGTCTCTTCACCACACCTCTTCCCCAAACTTGTGGCTATATTCCTGCTCTAAGAAGGAATTTACTTAGCAATTGCCATGGTCAGGCTTGGGATTATTTTTGTCTACTCAGCAATCACCATGGAGATACAGAGACAGCCACTTTGGTGTGAAGAGGGTACTGTTCCTGCCTCCATCTGCAGAAGGCAATAATGTGGGTCAGCTATGGAGGTCAGCTGATTTTTGGTTCTAGAGAATGGCCTCTCCGTGTCCCCTCTGTTCCCACATGCCCCAGGTAGCCCATATGGATCTATGCCCTGCATCCCATTGTTAGATAATGATGTGAAGTGTTGGAAAGCTTTGCAAACTTTGAAGTGCCATGCAAATATAAGGATGTTGCTATTATCCACTCAGAAAGGATTTTAACCTATAAATTAACTTCAACGAAGTTATATAATGTTTTTTCTAATATTTTAAATGTTGAAAAAGTCATAGAGTTTATGGGAGACTTGAAACAAATTATATAGGTTTGAGTTTCTTCCTCTTTTTTTTTTTTTTTTTTTTTTTTTTTTTTTCCTTTTTTTGAGATGGAGTCTCGCTCTGTCACCAGGCTGGAGTACAGTGGCATGAACTCAGCTCACTGTAACCTCTGCCTCCCGGGTTCAGGCAATTCCCTTGCCTCAGCCTCCCGAGTAGCTGGGACTACAGGTACACGCCACCACACCCAGCTAATTTTTTGTATTTTAGTAGAGACAGGGTTTCACCATGTTGGCCAGGATGATCTCGATCTCCTGACCTTGTGAACCGCCCACCCCAGCATCCCAAAGTGCTGGGATTACAAGCGTGAGCCACCGTGCCTGGCCCTTCCTTTCTTACTTTAAGCATTTTTGTAAGTGGGTCCTTCAAATGTATGATGTGATGATAGGCAGCCATGAAGTCATTCAAAATTTGTGATTGAAAGATTCTATTATTGACACTTCTGTTTTTGAAATAAAGCCTTCTCAGATTATGAAAATTATTAATATTACTACTGTTAATGAAATAAATGAACCTATAGATGAGACAGCATTTCACATTGTGTAGGCATCAGGGCAGTAGGAATATCATCATGGCATTCCTGAAAACCAAGGAAACATTGTGGGAAGAAAGTTAACACCTACAGATAGAATTGTAAAATGAATTTTGGCTCAGGTTGAGTTGGGCATGCAACCTGAAAACAGTGTGAGTCAGTGTACAAATCCAAAGTTTGTGAGACTCTATTATGTGCCATGGCTCTGTGCTGGGGACATGGAAGTAAGTGACTCTCTGCCCCTGCCTTGAGCAGTCTGGTCACAGGGACACATTTGTAAACCATGAATGTTAAGAAGACACTTATTTTTATTATGATTCTGTCTTTGTGTTTCTAACTCAGGTTTTGCCAGCCACTCAGCGGTTTGTTTCTTTGCATTTTCTGAATTAGGTTGTGGAATATAGGGAAAAGCACATCATGTGAGGAAACTAAGATGCCTGGACTTTTATCTCATACCTACTTGGACTAGATGTATAATCTCGTACAAGTCCTCTAACCTTTCTGAGTCTTATTCTCCTTATCTGTGAGGCAGGGGCAAGAATTTCAGCCTGCTCACAACAGGGGGTTTGAAATGAGGGGTTTGGTGAGGAAGCACCTTGGAAAACAGTCAGTACTGTCCAAGCATAAGGAATGTTGTCACCCTATTCGTTAACTCATGGGTGACAACCTCATGGGGCAACCTCATGGCTCTGAAAAACTAGCCATATATCTAGGTTCCTCAGTGTCTGAAATCAGATCTCTGGGGAGGACACTCCTGGAAAGTAGCACGTCCACTCTCTAACAGTATTGAACGAAGATAAGGGCAGCACATGAAGGGCTCTGTTGGCAGTGTAAGCAGGACTTTTCTGTCCCCTTCCTCTTGACTGTCTGGGTGAAGGCTAATAAATTAAAAAGCATATTTTTGGTGTTTATACTTAATTTAAACCTCTTTCTGACAAGCCTGTGTTAACAGATAACAGGCACAGAAGGGTGAAATGACTATGAAAGTCACCCAGCCCAGCCCATCAAGAGCAAATTCAGAACCAGAAACCAAGTAATCCACCTCCTATTTAGTCTAAGACTAGTTGACACTAACACATACTTAGAGATGGAGGGTGCCATGAGAACAACAGAGAAGAAGCTGTTGGCTTGATGCCATCAGCTCCGTTTGACAGACAAGGCAACTTAACCCCAAAGAGTTAATTGACTTGCCCAGAGTCACATTGCTAATATTATAGTGGCCTTCAGAAATGAACACTGAGTGAATGAATGAGTCAGCCAGTAAGGAAGACATTGGGAGATATTCATAAAGAACCTGCAGGAGTTCCCAGGATCATTGGAATTCAGTTTGTATGTATCAAGTCAGTATAGATACTGAATGGGTAGGCTTCTGGAAACACAAGACACAATATGTACCTTCAAATGGTTTTCAGGCTTGTGGACAAGTCCAAGCTTAAGATTCAGATCAAATAACTAAAGTAAAAAGTAGATTTAAGATTGAAAATCAGGCAGAAGCAAAGTCCTGTAGGACTTCTAAGGACAGTAAGAGGTCATCCAGTTGAGAGATCAAGGATGGTTCTGTGGAGCCAGAGCTGTTTGGGCAAGACCCTTGTAGAGAGGAGGAGGGTATTCTAGCCTTAGCAGACAGACCCCTGGCCTATTTTCAGGAGAATTAGGTGTAGAAAGCAACAGTGAGCTAAAAGTCTGAAAAGTTCATGGACTTCTTTTGCTGATTTGACTCACTGCCTGTCTTACCCTGGTGGGACCTTGTTGCAGGAGGACATCGATCTCAGGAAACTGGAAGACGAACACTGGCTCTGCAATGCTGGAGCAGATTGCCATGTCAGACAGGTGAGTGAGAGAAATCCAGTTCCCAGCCCAATGACGGAGAGGCTTCCTTAGTTGAAGAAGTTCAGGAAATAAGCTCTGTCCAAAGGGAGTCTCAGCAAACAGGACAGATAAAACACAAAAGGCCCAAGTACCTCATTTAACAAGATCAGGCAGGACTGGGTTGTATGCCAGCTGATAGAGATAAAGACTGCACATACGACAGATAAAAGCTTCCTGAGGCCTCACCAGAAGTGGATACTGGCACCATACTTGTACAGTGTGCATAACCATGAGCCAAAATCTTTCTTCTTTATAATTACCTAGCCTCAAGTATTCCTTTATTGTAACACAAAACAGACTAATCAAGGAGTGAAGTGTTGCTATAAAGACAGTTGAGAATATGGAATTGGCTTTGGAACTGAGTAACAGGCAGAGGCTGGAAGAGTTTGAAGGGCTCAGAAGAAGATAGAAAGATGAGGGGAAGTTCAGAATTTCTTAGAGACTATTTAAATGGTTATGACCAAAATGCTGATTGAAATATGGACTGTGAAGGCCAGGCTAACAGGCCTCAGATGAAAATAAGGAACTTGTTGGGAACTGAAGCAAAGGTCACCCTTGCCACTCCATAGCAAAGAATTTGGCTGCCTTGTGTCCATGCCCTAGGGATTTATGGAAGGCTGAATTTAAGAATGATGACCTAGAGTATCTGGTGGAAGAAGTTTCTAAGCAGCAGGTGCTCAAGAAGTAGCATGGCTTCTTCTAACAGCCTATGGGAAAAAATGACTGTACATACCATAGAAGCTCCACGGAAGGAGTAATTAGCATGGGCTGGAAGAGCCAAGGAGGCCTTCTAGAGGTGGTGAGAACTACTTTGGGGCTGCAAAAACGGGTAGGATCTGGAAAGCAGATGGAGGAGGGCATTGTAAATAAGGGTATGTGCTTAACATGGGTAGATGGAAGGAGCAGTGGGGATGGGAGGTGGGAGAGATGGAGGCAGCAAGGAGAGCCTGACTGGCAAGTAAGCTTTGTGGTGAGCGAATTGCCCCAGCTTCAGGACACATTCCCATCACCTCCAGGTACAAACTGTGGGTGGACACCTGTTCTGAGATGTTTGGCGGCCTGGACATCTGTGCCGTCAAAGCTGTGCATGGCAAAGATGGGAAAGACTACATTTTTGAGGTAAGTCTGGACCAAGCAGTAAGAGATAACTCCCAAGGCTTAAAAACTATGTTAGCAGTGCAGACTGCCTTTAATTTAGAGTTTCTTGAACCATGGGAACATTCTAGCAAGATCAGTGGGTAGCAGTTGTTTCCAACCTGATAGGCTGACCCACACCATGAGTAAAAGATGTTGGATATGGATTACTGGGATCCTATCCATTCCTCTGGGAAGACTGTAGTGATGTTACCATTCTCCGTCTCAGAAAGCCACCCTTGGGAGTCATTCTATCCAACCTATTCATTTTACAGGTGAGAAAACTGAGGCCTAACACCATGAGCATATGCCCAAGACCACAGAGTGAATCAGTGTCTCAGCCAGGTACCAGATGCAGGAGATTCTTCTTAGTGTCTCTCTGAGCCTTGGAGACACTACTCAGCCTGGTCCTCTAACACAACTTTGCTGAATACCTTTTCCTCTTATAAAGGAAAGTCAGTGGCAGTATGAATCCTTCACACACATTCCTACGCAGTCTTCCTGGGAGCAGGAAAAGCTCCTTGCTAGGAATTGGTGGTATTTCCAGGATATTGATGTCAGAAGCCCAAATTAGGCTTCAAATTCAGAATCTGTCTCATTTTCTGCATGGTCTGTAACCTTCTGAATGGTCACACCTCTCCTCACTAGGTGGGCCTCTGTTTTCTCATCCATAATTGAGAAAGTTGGACTATGGAGTCTATAAGGCAGACACTTCCTAAAGGAGGAAAACACTGTCTGAGCCTTGAGGTATAGGAAGAATCAAGATTGGTGGTGAAAAGGGAGGGCATCCTAGTTCAGGCACAGAGGGAGGAATCTGATCATTTAGTGAGCAGAGGATGCTTGGAGACAGAGATTCTGTGGGTGAAAAGTAGCAGATAAAAAGCGCCTGCTCCTAATCAGAGATATAAGTGGATGCCTTTCACATCTACTTGCTCCCCTGCCTGCAAACTTCTGTGCCCTGGGACTCTACCCTCTTCCTTGCTTTCTACCTCTTCCCCGCTACCTTCATCCAGCAATTTTCGGTTTCCCTGAGCCGTGGCTGGGTAAAGCTTGGGGAAAAGACGTGAGGCAAAGGTTTGTAGAAGGAAGGGACAAAGATCCTATTTCTGCAAATGATCATACAGCTGAAGACAAGAACTCCTGCTTCATTTCCAGTCCATCTCTGCTGTGTCAAATCCTACATATTCTGAAAGATTGTACCAGGCTTTTTATGTTTCCAGACCCCTTTTCTCACCTGGGACACATCTTCCACCAGGTCATGGACTGTAGCATGCCACTGATTGGGGAACATCAGGTGGAGGACAAGCAACTCATCACTGAACTAGTCATCAACAAGATGAACCAGCTGCTGGCCAGGACTCCTGCCCTGTCTCCTCAGAGACCCCTAACAACCCAGCAGCCACAGGTAAGCGGCTAGGAAGAGACATAGCAGAGCAAAGAACCATTCTTAAGCCCACTGCTCTAGATGTTGGTGGTTAAAAAATGGAGTACAAGTCAGATGGCCACAAGCCTAAACAGGATCTAAGGAGACATCTCCTTCTTCCTTCCCTTCCCTTTCCCCTGGAGGCCTGATTATCATTCACCACCCCTTATAGGGCCTTCTCAGCAATCTGCAGTGTCAGTTACAGAATTAGACAGAGGAGCACTGGATCTCTTTCCTCTGAACCTGAAGTCTCCAAGGAACCAGAGTCAGCTTCTCCTGAGACTTAAGACACTCCCATTTTTAAACTGAGAGGTATTTGAGGAAGAGCTGTGTCACATCACTGATTTATCTATTTACTGCTTCACTGTGTTGAGTCTATCTTTGTAAATAAGGAAGGCTCTGAGAAATATGCTAGTCTGGTAGGGGAGAGTCAGGTCCCTCATTCTGGGAGAGTGACAAGACAAAACTCAAATTAGAAATCTACTTTCTTGGCCGGGCGCGGTGGCTCAAGCCTGTAATCCCAGCACTTTGGGAGGCCGAGGCGGGTGGATCACAAGGTCAAGAGATCGAGACCATCCTAGTCAACACGGTGAAACCCCGTCTCTACTAAAACTACAAAAAATTAGCTGGGCATGGTGGTGCGTGCCTGTAATCCCAGCTACTCAGGAGGTTGAGGCAGGAGAATTGCCGGAACCCGGGAGGCGGAGGTTGCGGTGAGCCGAGATCGTGCCATTGCACTCCAGCCTGGGTAACAAGAGTGAAACTCTGTCTCAAAAAAAAAAAAAAAAAAAAAAAATCTACTTTCTTTTCTAAGAGAGAAGTGGCCTTCCTCAGTTGGCCTGTGGTACATGACTCACGGCCAATCCCACTCATGGTAACAGCATTCCAGCTGCGGGTCTCCTAGGAAATCCACACTGAAGTTTTGTGGAACATCAGGCCCTGTGGCAGGGAACAGTCTTTATTCCCATATAAGAGGTATCTCATTTTTCAAAAACAGCCCCAAACTCCACTAAATGTTTATATTATGAAATGGTGAGAACTTGGGACAGTGAATCAAAGAAAAGAACTGAATCTTAAGTCTAGCTCTTCCTCTAAATAGCTGTGTAAGTTTTCAGGAAAATGACTAGCCTTTCTTGGGCTCAAGTTTTATTATTTATAAATGAGAATTTTCTCAGAAATCTTTCCTTCAAAATCCAACTTTAAACAGTTAGGGAGGTAGAATAGAATAGTGATTTAGAGTGTGGGATTTGAAGTGAGAACTACCCAAATTTGAATCCTAGATTCTCCATTTATAGGCTTTGTGACCAGCACATAAAACAGTGTAACAATTGATAAGTCAGTTCCCTCTCTGGATCTCAAGTTTCCCCACCAATATCTAGAGACCTTTTGTGCTCTGAAAATTCTTTGAATAGAATGCTTTCATCTACATTGATGTTGATAAATGGGAACTTCTGGGCTAATAAATGTGGACCCTGACTCTTTCTGGGTATCTGAGTTAAGAATAGCCCTGTATGGTGGGATGTTATTATATATTAGCACTTATGAGCGTTTTAGTTACTAGAGAATCACAGTAGGTTAACTAGGAAAACAAAAGTTAATTGCCTGTTAGAGATACAAACCCATTATTCAGATAATATTTAACTAGAGGTGACAAAATTATTTTTATGGTTAAAAAAAATCAGGCCTGTGGTGAGATTTTATGATTTTGTAAATATGATGGAATCAAGATATTTGAATTCTAGTTCTGCCTTTTAGTTCACACTGGATAATGAGAGAGAATCTGTGAACAAGATTACTGCTTGTCCCAGCTCTAGCAGAAGAGTGACAAGTAGTCCCTTCTTCCCTTTAATACTGAGAAAAACAGAGAACATCTGGTAGTATCTTAAAAAATTTATGACAGGGTAAGAGAACCTGACATTACCCAGACAGAATGGGCTGATCTGGGATTCTGTGAAGGGCCCTTAAGTGCTTATAAAATAAGCATAAACTTTCATGGCCTTCTACAAGGGAAGCCATTCGGAACTAAAATGAAGGCCATGCTAAGAGTAAGAGATCTGCATTTAGCCCTGTGCTTGCCACTGCTTCACCAGGCGACCTTGGGTAGGTTTCTGCACATTTCTATGCATCAGCATCTTTGTGTGTAAAATTAAAGGTTGAACACAAACACTAAGATCCCTTTTAGCAAGACAATTCATATTATACAAAAATGATATTTAAAGTATAAAAGTTAAGAAGCACAGATAATTTGTAGAACAAAATTTTCTACCCCACAAAAAGCATTAGCCCTTCTTTGGTATAAGCCACTTCTTTTATAAACATTAAATGCTGTAGCTTAAACATTTTGTAAGATAAATCTACAATGTGTCAGAATCAAGGCAGAAAACATAGCAAGGAATAAGCTCCCTAAATATAGCATCTCTTGCAGAAATTTCCTTGTAGCAAAGTCAGTTTGACTCAAGGATAAGCTTTTCTTTGCTCAGCCTTACATTCTTATCCAAAGGGTATTATGGAAAACATACCATGCTGGGAGTCAGGACACACAAGGGCTAGTCCTCACTCCACCATAACATTATATGACCTTTGGCAAGTTACTTCCCATCCTAGACCTCTGTTTCCTCACCTATGAAATGGAGTTGAATTAGATGATGTCTAGATCCCTTTCAATTCTAAGGCCATTTAATACCTGGAGCCAAACTGCAAAGTCTGAGGGCACAATCCTCCATAAGACCCTTGCTCCTGACGTCACCTGAAAGTTCCCAAAACCACTCTCAGGTTTGACAGTTCTCTGGAAAAACTCACAGAACTCACAGAAAGCTATTATACTCAGTTACAATGTATTATGGAGAAAGGATGCAGGTCAAAACTAAGCCCAAAGGAAGATGAGTAGGGCAGAATCTGGGAGGGTTTCCAACACAAAGCTTCCATTAGTTAGGACTCATTCTCCTCCTGACTTTGTTATGTGACAGTATGCATAGAGAATTAACAACCAGGGAAGCTCCTCTGAGCTTCAGTTTTCACAGTCTTTATTGGGACTTCATCATGTAGGCGTGATTGATTGACTGATTGATCACCTGGTTGAACTCAGCCTCTGTCCCCTCCCTCCGTGGAGGTCAGGATACCATGTGGCCTGAAGGACCCAGTATGAATGACACCGACACTTCTATCACTCCAGAAACACCAAGTGCATAGAGGTTACTTCCGAGGAGCCAAAGATAAAGGCCAGAACTCTCTTAGGGCAAAGCCAAATTCTTTTTTCTTTCTTTTTTTTTTTTTTTTTTTTTTTTTTTTGAGATGGAGTCTTGCTCTGTCTCGAGGCTGGAGTACAGTGGCACAATTTCGGCTCACTGCAACCTCTGCCTCCCGGATTCAAGCAATTCCCCTGCCTCAGCCTCCCTAGTAACTGGAACTACAGACGTACACCACCACACGTGGCTAATTTTTTGTATTTTAGTAGAGACAGGGTTTCACTGTGTTGGCCAGAATGGTCTCAATCTCCTGATCTCGTGATCTACCCACCTCGGCCTCCCAAAGTGCTGGGATTACAGGCATGAGCCAGCCAGCCAAATTCTTTACTATACACATGATTAAGTTAATATAGCAAACATTTCTCAAATGATTTCAGCCCATGTGGGCAAGGACCATGCCTTATTGATCTGCATTTCCATTGACTAACATGAAAATGCAGTGTGCTTAAAATTAGTTAATAGGCTTAGGACTTAAAGTTGCTGTTCAAAATATTCTAAATTGAAATAATGGGTGAATTCACAGAGGTCATCACCATTTCTCAGATGGTATCTTCTGTTAACCTCTGTTAGCTTCCTTCTGAGCCTTATATCTTGACCTCAGGCCACCCAGAGGACAGAAGACACCCAACAGTCAGCCACACTTGTCAAAACACCATAACTTGAGCTTAAAACCATGGCTGTACTGGTCATATTCTCACCTCCCATTTCTTCCAGATAATAGCGCATTTTCATTGGTTACGGTTGAGCAGCCATTTCAGCTATCATGAGTCCAGGACTATGGAGTTATCAAACTAGATTACGTTCATGTCCCTGCTATCACATCCGCCTGCTTCTCTGCACCTTCACCCACATGAATCTGCTCTAAGGCTCATCCTCCACTTGTGACCTAGATCCCATCTCCTTTTTGCTCTCAAATATCTGCTCTCTTCTCCACCATCAATTTCTCCTTTTCCAAAAGATGATTGGAAAGTTGTTTTAGCCACCGCCTCCCTTGCATCACATTTTCCTCCTATCCTTTCTAGTCAGCATCCCACCCACACTATCTCACTGAAATTGCTCTTGTCAAAGTCACCTCCATGTCACCGTGTCCAGTAGTCACTTTTGTTCTTATCTTACAGACTTTTCAGTAGCATTTGATGTAGTTAACTACTCCCTCCTTCTTGAAACACTATTTTCTAGGCCCTTGAGACCCCATTCTTGCTTGGTTTTCATTCTACGCCATTGGCTTCCCCTTCTCGGCCTCCTTTGCTGATTCTTCTACTTCTTTTGAGTGTCTAAACATCAGTGCCCCAGAACTTTGTCAATGTACATTCCTTGGTGGTCTTGGCCAACCTATATCCATCTCCTGCCCTGCTCTTGGTGACCTGACTACCCCTTCAAACTCCAGACTTTAACTCTTGCTTGATATCCTTACTTGCTTATCTTAAAGACACCCTAAATGTAACACAGCCAACGCAGAACTCTAGTTTTTTCCCTTAAACCTGTCCCCTCAACACTGTTTTTCCCAAGCAGTTTGTGTAGGTCCCTACCTGCCTCTTTGCCTGTGTACTATCCTAACTATAGGTCACTGTGCCCTAGACACACTGATAAGGGCCTTTGTATTAGCTGTGTTCTCTCTCTGAAATGCTCTTCCCTCTTAGTTTTGCATGACTGGCTCTTTCTTGACAGTATAAGTGATATTTTCTCAGCTATCCAATCCAAAGCTGCCACCTACTCACTGGCTACCACCTCTCCATT